CAATATTTCTTGTCTTTTTTTTCCCATCAGTTCCCTTGCCTATGGGTCCTACAGAAAAAATAGTTTTTGATCATGTAATTAAACACTGTATTACAGTACACACGAGTTGGAAAGATTAAGATAGCACAAGTAATTGTAAATGTGGCATTTCCTAACTCGTGCTTAATTTTGCTATGACAAAAAATCTTTTAGCAAAGGTTGGGGCATTTTGTGTGCATCTTCCTGGGGTTTGTTGTTTAAAGGGAAAACAACAAAATCTGTATTGTACAACTGTAACAAACACCCTGTTATGCATCATCTTCTGTGTTAGAATTTTGAAACTTCTACACAGTTTCAGGTACAGGATTAACCATGTTAGCTATCAGCAGGAGAAAATGATTATCCCACAGGGGGAACAGGCTATTGGCAGCTACTGTACATTTCTGGATCTGAGTAGCCATGGAGAGCTTGGTGCAGACTCCCGAGGTGAGGGGGGGAGGGACTCCTCCTTTTCTATGTGGAGAAATGTGGCCATGTGCTATCTGGGGCAGGGAGAGATGATGATTTGTGGGGCCAACTTCATGCTTTTTGGGGGTCCAACTCATGATTTTTTATCTCTTGAGGTTGGCAGCACTGGAAAATTGACACATAGTGCAAAGAGGCTTGAAAGTGGGGATGTGGGCAGAAAGGAGGAGAGCGGAGGCAAGGCGATATTGTGAGGATGATGGTACTCTGTGAAGGGATCTCCTCTCATGGCACTGGAGAGGCGTGACAGTATTTGTTTGACAGAGAGAGGGCCAGGGAGGTATATGAGGGTATGTCTACACTACCCTCCTAGTTCGAACTAGGAGGGTAGTGTAGACATACCCTAGGGTAGCTCAACTCACATGGCCCTCTCCTCCAGTTTATCTCCTGCTCCATGGAGTGCTCCCAAAATTGAGGGAGAGAGGAGCTACTGGAGCATGTGCTTGATTGGGTTAGGGAAGAGAAAGTGTCTGAGGCCAGCATTCTCCCTGTCCATCCCCCTCATGCTGCTACAGCTCTAGCAACAATTTGGTGTTCCCATTGCTGTCTGTGCTACTGCTGCAGCTGCTTTGGCAACATTGCAGGCCCAACATTAGAATATTCAGGTTCAGTTATTGTGGCAACATGCCATTTTTCTGAGGAATGTAAGCTACAACAGGGAAATGGCAATTTTTAGCAATTCAAATCACAGCCAAACCTTGAACAGAAATTGGACAAGAAACAGGAACATCTCTAGCACAGGGGCTGTCTCACTGCCAAATAGCAAAAGCCTATTGCAAATAACGGAGTTGTAAGAGCTTCTCAACAGAAAAAAAGTTACATTATTGAAAGCATTAGACAACTATAAGTGTCACCTTTTATAATTGCAAGACCAGCCTTTCTTTCTTATGATCACTGAGAGGCCAGATTCACACTAGAAAAGGTATTTCCCTTTCCCTGGCATAGTATAGCAAAGACAGAATTAATTAATTAATTTTGGCAAAAAGCTAGTTTTTTCTTCACTGGTACTAGCCATAATTACCATAACATCTGTTTCGTAGAACCGGTGTTGCAGTATTTATATCTGATACTTGGCTTTTGGATTTATTTCCTAATCCTCTCTTCCTTCTGATGTTACACAACACTGCAGAGAGACTTACATACAAATGTTTGGCTGGCTCCATGAATTCAGTTGGTATTAGCTTTCTCTCTTGTAAACATTTAAGGATTCATCAACCTAAATCTCATTATGTTTTCAAACACTGAATGAGAAGTGTAACTACAACACTCTATTTCTTCGTTAGCTGGGATTTGCAAACCTCTTTTGTTCAGTTGTTAAATGTGCATATGTTTTCATTTAATGCCCTGACTTGAAAAAAAAACCCTCCAACCCACAAAATTTTTTTCTTGTTAAACTGTTCATGAACAAATTTGAATCTAAAGGATGCATAATTCCACAATGCAAATGTGGGGATGACTAATCTTTATGTTTATTTAGGACATTCAGTGAAATTAACACAGCTGAAGAACAGTACAGCTTATGTCAAGAACTTTGCAGAGATCTTGCCCAGGATCTGCAAAAAGAAGGACTTAAGGTATTTAAATCATTCTCTTCTGATTTAAAAAAAAAATCAGCCTCTTGTACTGTCAGGCCTCAGGGCTGCAGTATGCTCTGTTAGCAGTAAAGCATTTTTCATTATCATGCCCTACCTTCTGGCTTCAAAGGATTCTGTTGTTTTGTTCATTGGTTATTAGAATATTTAGATCAAAATTGCATTTAGCTTCAGGAGGCTATCTTGTGAGATCCTTTTAAAATTAAACTAATTCACCAAGTTATTTAGCATATTGTACGTGTTGTTCTAAAAGCTGTGTTAATTAACAAAAGTAGCAATCAAGTGGCATAAAAAAATTGATTTCCTGGAGCCTTACTGTGGCCAAGCATGTCAACTGTAAAGCAATAAAAGGATTTATTCCTGTGTCTTATTTTTACTGACTATATAGTTCCTGAGAGATAGTATAGCTTTGATGAACATAATCTACTATATATAGGGATTTTTAACTTATTTTCTGGAAGGAGCACCTCAGATTATTCAACAGAGATCTTTAATGGTAAAGCAAAAAGTAGCATTCAAAGATTCGTAAAAATACCAATCAGTCCTCTTTAGCCATGGAAGGTTGTTGTGACGCAAAGACATGAGGTGACAACCTGGAGAAAAATCCTCTATTGTGATAAATAACAAAGGTAAATTTGTTTAAAACTCTTAAGTGACTTGACCTGTATCCCACTGATTGCAGTGCTCGTAAGTGCTTAGGTGCTTTTGAAAGCACTACCCAAACTGTTTGAGTTGAAAGAGAGATATGGTAACTACTTTTATCACTTTACAATCATATTTTCAAATTGTTGGGATTTAGAGTGCACTTACTGAATTGCACATGCATATTTGCCTGCACAAATATTAGGGCAGATTCTCTACTCCGTTTTGCTCCCTTTGTACAATTCGAGTGATCTAAAGGGAGCAAAGACATTGGAGGCCTGTAACTGGACATCTCGTAAGTACAGAAGAGTCCCCAGTAGATGTAGGCATAGTTGGCATCTGCCTGGCAACTCCCATTCCAGGCGATATGTGGGAAATGGGTAGAGACTGGGGAATTGGCCAGAGTACGTTAGTAATATGCAGCTGATAGATGCAGATTGCCAGTGGGTGCAGGTCAGAGCAGCCCCAAGCTACTCATCTCAGGCAGGAGGCTATAGCCCGGTAGAAAACCTTATGATAACAGCCTCCTTTACAGCCCACCACCCATGCTATGCCCAGCATAAGTTGGATGCAGCAGTGAATCTGGCCTCCTGCTTCTAAGCCTTGCTTTGACAATGAAGTAGATTTCAGCTAGGTGAAAAATGACTATACTGTAAAAATTCTTCTGTACCATATGTGTTAACTTTTTAAAATTTGGTTTCTAGGGTAAAACTGTTACCCTGAAACTGAAGAATGTGAGTTTTGAAGTAAAAACAAGAGCTTCCACTGTGCTTGCTGCTGTTTCTACTGAAGAAGAAATATTTGTTCTTGCTAAAGATATGTTAAGGACAGAAATTGATGGTGTTGCCCCTCTCCCTTTGCGGCTAAGACTTATGGGTAAAATGTTTCTAACTTTTTTTTTTTTTTTTCCTTTTTAGGCTGATTCCTCTAGTCCCTTAGGGCAAGCATGCTGCATATCTGGGAACAGGTGGCATAGCTGGATTTACCCTACCCCCCATATAATCTTCAGAGCTGTTGAGGGCAAAGCCCCTGGTGCAAGTTAGAGCAGTTTCAAAGTTACTTTAACTTGCACTAGTGGATAGTGGGTCCCAGGGATACTGAAAGGATACTGGGCTGTATGGACCGTTGGTCTGACCTAGTATGGCCATTCTTATGTTCTTATGCTCCACTGTGGAGATTGTTTTCTACCAACTCTCCCTGTCCTGGAACACCCTTCTGCTAATATTGAGGTGGCATTCTGTGACATGGAAATCCGCAGCTTTGCCTCCTTTCAAGTAGCTATAAATCCCCTTTGCACTGTAGGAGGAAAAAGTTGAGTATGTGGCTCTATCATTTTTGACAGAAGAATGGCCTAAATGATAATATTATAACTTGGTAGTATCAAATTTTGTCTGAAGTTAAGATTTCTTGCTGAATTAATAATATTTTTGTTCTAAGTCTAAACAGTCCACTGGGCATAATTTTAAAACATAATGTCCCAGTTTAAAGAAAAAGTTCAAAGAATAAATATTTTAATGGCAAATTTCATGCCAGACATTCCAGCTAGTAGGAAAAGGAGCAGAGAGAGCATGGTAAAATGGAGCCCAATTGGGCCTATGCCTCTCCCTAGCTAGATCCACATTTTTGAAGGTGAGACCCCACATACATTTTGGGACCACTGGGATCTATAAGGTGCCACCCCTTCTTTCTTCCCATGCCATATGGTAGATAGTAGCCATCCAGATACTCCAGCCTCTAGGAGCAGAAACAGCTGAAGCAGGGACATGTGAACATTGAGAACTTTCTACAGTTTTGTGGGGATTTATTTTCTGATTGGCGTTTTGCTCCAGTATTTCCCTTTGTCACAGTCTCTTCACCTCAGCTTCAGTCCATACCTACCCCTCTTACTCAATTCTTCCGTGCTCTCCTGAACTTCCTTTCTTTCCCATTTAGTCAATCCTCTTCCTTCCTAAATTCACTCTTCCAACCCCCTCAAAAAAAAAAGCTGTGGACCTAACATGACATCATCTGTCATATTGATCACTCTGCCTCTGTGTTAAACTTATTCCTCCATCATGTCTCTGCCTTGTTTTTAAATTGTAAGGTCATGTAGGTAAGGCCCATCTGCTGCTCTTTGTGTAGTCCCTAACATGATCGGGCCTCATTCTTGGTTCACCTTTTAGGCACTGCTTCAATAAACATGATTGTTCATTTAATTAACAATTTCAGAATGTTTAAAAGTCTGAGGGGGTAGCCATGTCAGCCTGTAACTTAAAAAAACTTTAAAAATGAGTGGTCCTGTAGCACCTTAGAGACTAACAAGAAGTGTGTGTGTGCGTGTATAGTATCACGAGCTTTCATGAGCACAACTTACTTCTTCAGATGAGTGGAGCAAAAGAGACAGAACCCCCAAATTTAAAGCAGAAACAGTCACCCACTGGCCCTGTGCTCCCTGCTTTTGAAATGTACAAGAGCCCTTCCAGGCTCTTGTACATTTCAAAAGCAGGAAGTGTGGGGCCACTGGGGGACTGTTTGAATTGTACGCTGGCCATGCTCCCCGCAGTCTGTAAAAATTCTTCTGTACCATATGTGTTAACTTTTTAAAATTTGGTTTCTAGGGTAAAACTGTTACCCTGAAACTGAAGAATGTGAGTTTTGAAGTAAAAACAAGAGCTTCCACTGTGCTTGCTGCTGTTTCTACTGAAGAAGAAATATTTGTTCTTGCTAAAGATATGTTAAGGACAGAAATTGATGGTGTTGCCCCTCTCCCTTTGCGGCTAAGACTTATGGGTAAAATGTTTCTAACTTTTTTTTTTTTTTTTCCTTTTTAGGCTGATTTCTCTAGTCCCTTAGGGCAAGCATGCTGCATATCTGGGAACAGGTGGCATAGCTGGATTTACCCTACCCCCCATATAATCTTCAGAGCTGTTGAGGGCAAAGCCCCTGGTGCAAGTTAGAGCAGTTTCAAAGTTACTTTAACTTGCACTAGTGGATAGTGGGTCCCAGGGATACTGAAAGGATACTGGGCTGTATGGACCGTTGGTCTGACCTAGTATGGCCATTCTTATGTTCTTATGCTCCACTGTGGAGATTGTTTTCTACCAACTCTCCCTGTCCTGGAACACCCTTCTGCTAATATTGAGGTGGCATTCTGTGACATGGAAATCCGCAGCTTTGCCTCCTTTCAAGTAGCTATAAATCCCCTTTGCACTGTAGGAGGAAAAAGTTGAGTATGTGGCTCTATCATTTTTGACAGAAGAATGGCCTAAATGATAGTATTATAACTTGGTAGTATCAAATTTTGTCTGAAGTTAAGATTTCTTGCTGAATTAATAATATTTTTGTTCTAAGTCTAAACAGTCCACTGGGCATAATTTTAAAACATAATGTCCCAGTTTAAAGAAAAAGTTCAAAGAATAAATATTTTAATGGCAAATTTCATGCCAGACATTCCAGCTAGTAGGAAAAGGAGCAGAGAGAGCATGGTAAAATGGAGCCCAATTGGGCCTATGCCTCTCCCTAGCTAGATCCACATTTTTGAAGGTGAGACCCCACATACATTTTGGGACCACTGGGATCTATAAGGTGCCACCCCTTCTTTCTTCCCATGCCATATGGTAGATAGTAGCCATCCAGATACTCCAGCCTCTAGGAGCAGAAACAGCTGAAGCAGGGACATGTGAACATTGAGAACTTTCTACAGTTTTGTGGGGATTTATTTTCTGATTGGCGTTTTGCTCCAGTATTTCCCTTTGTCACAGTCTCTTCACCTCAGCTTCAGTCCATACCTACCCCTCTTACTCAATTCTTCCGTGCTCTCCTGAACTTCCTTTCTTTCCCATTTAGTCAATCCTCTTCCTTCCTAAATTCACTCTTCCAACCCCCTCAAAAAAAAAAGCTGTGGACCTAACATGACATCATCTGTCATATTGATCACTCTGCCTCTGTGTTAAACTTATTCCTCCATCATGTCTCTGCCTTGTTTTTAAATTGTAAGGTCATGTAGGTAAGGCCCATCTGCTGCTCTTTGTGTAGTCCCTAACATGATCGGGCCTCATTCTTGGTTCACCTTTTAGGCACTGCTTCAATAAACATGATTGTTCATTTAATTAACAATTTCAGAATGTTTAAAAGTCTGAGGGGGTAGCCATGTCAGCCTGTAACTTAAAAAAACTTTAAAAATGAGTGGTCCTGTAGCACCTTAGAGACTAACAAGAAGTGTGTGTGTGCGTGTATAGTATCACGAGCTTTCATGAGCACAACTTACTTCTTCAGATGAGTGGAGCAAAAGAGACAGAACCCCCAAATTTAAAGCAGAAACAGTCACCCACTGGCCCTGTGCTCCCTGCTTTTGAAATGTACAAGAGCCCTTCCAGGCTCTTGTACATTTCAAAAGCAGGAAGTGTGGGGCCACTGGGGGACTGTTTGAATTGTACGCTGGCCATGCTCCCCGCAGTACTTCTGCCTTTGAAATATAGCAAGAGCCCTCCCAAGGCTCTTATACATTTAAAAAGCAGGAAGTGCGGGGCCAGCGGGGGTCTGTTTGAGTCCTCTGCTAGCCGTGCTCCCTGCAGCGCTTCCACCTTTGAAATGTAGCTAGCGCCAGCAGGGCTCTTACTACATTTCAAAGGCAAAGGTGGTCTACATTGACTATTTGATTAGTTGATTGATTTGAATTTAACATCCTTAATTTTAACCTGCCTTGGCACTCATTAATTGAATTAAAAGTAGCCATTCTTTTACAAAGTAATTTCAGGAACCAACTGCAGAGAGAGACTAAGGAACTGACCTTCATATGCAAATTTGACATTATCTCCCAGGGACTGAACAAAGACATGAACTGGATACACCATCATATTTAACACTCAATGACATCAACAGCTAAATATGGGACACTTACAGCCCACTCTATTAGCCTCAATTAGCATGGGCACTATATTTGACAGGTTTTTTCCTCCCCCTCTCCCTTCTTTTTCTGCTTTAAATTTGGGGGTTCTATGCCTTTCGCTGCACTTACTTGAAAAAGTGGTTTTTGCCCATGAAATCTCATGCTACTATATATATTTGCTACACTCTAAGGTGCTACAGGACCACTCGTTGTTTTCTACATTTTTTTAAATTTCAGATTGTAACATTTTCTACATGACTACCTGAAGTTTATGGCATCACATGATGTGGCAACATGGTGTTTTAATGGCACTGAAATTCCACACAAAATTAACATAGCTCTTAAATCTTCAGGACTGGTAGTAACATTGCAATTGCTTTATGATCAGCTAACGAATACCTACTTGCATTGAGTGTCTTTGTATCTCAAAACTTTTTAATACCCATTAGTGTTAATTAAGTTTTAGTTTTACTGATCAGTTACAATTACATTTTTTATTTGTCTTGTTTGTCATGTTCAGGTGTACGAGTATCAGGATTTCTAAACGAAGAAGAAAAGAAATACCAACAGAGGAGCATTATCAATTTCTTAAAGCCAGGAAAACAAACAGATACTGCTCTGCTTCAGTCAGGGAAATCCAGCCATGAACATTTTACAAAAGCCTCCGAAACAACTCACAGAGAGAGTTTTTTTGATAAAAAGCGAGCTGCAAGGCAAGAAAGCAACCAAGAGCTTCTTATAAACAAACCTGCAAACAAGCAGAACTTGCATGATATAAAGTCATTGATAAATCCTGTGGAAGAAACAAATGACACCATAGGCTCAAAGAATTTGAATGAGTGTCAGAGCCTCACTTGCCCTGTTTGCTTTGAGGAGCAAAGAAGCAGTAATTTAGAGGCACTTAACAGACATATAGATAAGTGCCTCAATGGGATACTGGAAAAAGATAATGCAGAAATATCAGCGAGTGAGAATTCATGGGAGAATTCACATCATTTTTCTCCTGACAGTAAAAAGAAAATGTCTGAAATATGTCAAAAAAATAAAATGAACAAATCAGTGGATATGATCGAGTCAACAAAAGTAGCTGACAGTTTCACTAGCATTAGCACAGAAGCATTCCCTAAAGTAGTAGCTAATACTGGCAAGGAAAGAGAGCATAGTCTGCTTAGTGAAACTGCTAGTAACACATACCTAGAACAGAATTTTTCTTCCAAAATTACTTCATTGGAAAATACAGAACAGGTTGAAAAGCCTGAATATACTCAAGAAACTGAGCCTTCCCACTCCTCTGGAGCCATCGAAGACAATGTTCTGGTTTGTCCAGTCTGTAATACAGAACAAAAAACAACTGACCTTTCATTGTTCAACAGGCATGTGGATATTTGTTTAAATAAAGGCATTATCCAGGAGTTGACCGAGCAAATAGTTTGTCCCATTAAGAGTCAAGTTGGTGAGTATTTACATTTAAAATGTTAGCTTTTTAAACTACCCCATCCAATATGCAATAGGAATTTTAAGGAATGTTTTGTACATTTTAGGTTTCTGAGTTTGATGCAGCTTTTGAACTTTAACAAGACCGGTATAAAGGGGTTGGCTATTTGCATCTGAAAAATACCATATTCCTTTGTATGACATGAACCAATTTGTGTATTAGTTTGCAATTAACTGGCTTACTTTTGTACTTTGTCTTTTTTATTATAGAGACTTAACTTTGGAATTGGCTCAATCAGTTGGACAAGATTAGAGACCTAGCACTAATATTTAAGAAACTGTTAAAAGTGCTTCCTTTTAGATCCAACATGAGAAAATTTCTAAGCATATTAGTAAAGCAACAATAACAGCATTATACTGAATGTGACTCTTTACAAAGATGATTTCCTAAAATAGTGATGTAGATCTTCCTAGCTGTGCAGGCAAGCTGTGGTATAAAATAAATGCTGCATATTAGTGAAGGTTTTTCAATATTTTTTCCCAGAAAGACAGACAATGTAAAACAAACATGAATTTCAGTAGACCATATTGAAACTCAAAAGTATTACATTTTGATGATACAGAAATCTGTGATCACATTCAAATGTATTTAATTTGGTGTTGGGCTGAAAGGCTTTTTTGTTTTTACTTATTTTGAATACAACTGACAGTATGATCAGGATAACAAATATGATCAAATGTTATCTGCTTCGTAAGAGATTCAATCCAACTGCTTCAGAAAATAATAAGAAGGAAATTTTTCACTTAGAACTTTTCTCCTAAAAGTTCTGCTAGTCATGCAGCTGCCTGCTATGTTCAGTCTATGTTTAAAGAATTCATTTTGGATGTTTGTAATTGTTCTTTAGGAAGCATGGGCAGAGGACATCAGTATATGAATCCTACAACAGGAATAAAAAGGTACAATAGATCTCAAGTGTATATGTACTTGTATTTGAAAGTCAAGCTAATAGTCTAATTAATGTTGCAAAAGTTACTTCAGATGGTTTTATATTTGGTTTTGGCTTTTTGGTGGGTGTTTCTGTTTGTTTTTTTCTAATGTTTTATTTTTTTCTTTTAGGCCTGGACTAACGACACCACAGTCAACATCAAAGAAAGCCAAACAAAGCAATTCCAAACAAACAATTGAAACATTTTTAAAATGATTGTGTAACACTTTATCATATATGAAGAATTTCATAATCAGCGTTTTATTATTCACATTCGTTTGGTGTAGATGAAGGATTGGACTCTCATACCTCCCACTTTAGAACCACTGTAAACCTCCATTAGAGGAAAACTTTTGAGACAAAAGAATAAGTGATCTAGCAGAGACCAGAGCTTGAAATTAATTTTTCACTCAAATAATTTTTTCTCAGTAGTTTTTGTCTAAATTGTACCTGTGGAAAAAAGAGCATGCTAAGAATGGGTTTTATTCTATCTTGACATAATGAAAACTCAGGATATGGAAATCACTAGCAATTCAGCTTATGTTATTAGTGACTGATAGTTGGTTAGTGTGAAATGAGTTTGACTGAATTTAGTTTGTAGTGGCCAGCTATTCACAGCACAAAACAATTAATTGGTACTCATCAATGTCTGTGCTGATATTCTCAAGAGGTTTAGGCCCTAAATCTAACTCTCGTTAAAGTTAGTGAAAAGTGCCACTGACTTCTATGGGAACTGGTGGGTCAGGCTTATAGGACTCAGGTCTAAACAGTGCATGGGCACTCTTGTGGTACGCTGAGTGACCTCAACACCCACTGACTACAAAAACTTTGCAGAATCAATCCCTTAAACAAGCCTAGAGTGTGAGAGAGCCCCAGAATAGTTCTGGGATATACTGACTCTGCCTCACTGGTTTTGTGGAGATATAGAGAGCTTCAGATGGCTATGCAGTTGTCAACCCAGCACTTTTCAAAAGCACTAAATTCACTTTAAGAAAAGTTAAGGATAAACTAATGCAGTGTAGTGTGACTGATGAGCAAATATGTATGACATTGAAATAATAATCCTGAATATATAAGAAAGGAAATAGCTCTCCTATTGTTCACACCTATATTCTCTTTGGAGACACACAGATGATGAAAATACTTCTTGTAGTTTGTTATATACCAGGTTTTTATGAATACATGTAAGTTTTTAATCATTAAAATATGAAGTAAAATGGCATCTCAAAAGAAAATATTTACCACAAATAATGCATGTGTGTGTTAGCTATGTGAAGACTTTTTCCTTTAAAAAAATACATCTACTCCTATTTTATGAATTTGGCAGTGTCAATTTATATTTCTCTAAAAACAGTATAATAAACTTTTATCTAGATTGCTTGATTACTTTATTTCGTGTTAATAGGGATATTAAAAAAAAAGGAAGAAAGCAAGTGCATTTTTTTCTGAGGCTATCTTATTTAGAAATAGGTTTTACATATGCAGCATGTTAAAGAAGGAAACAGCCATAATTATTTGAACAGATGAAATAAGTTTGTTTTGGCACTGGCAATTATTTCATCATCCATACAAATGTGTCATTGCAGTTGACATAGAAGCATTTTGTAAACATTATTTCTATAGATAAAATACAATACTATTGCAAAATTAGTGAGTTTCCTTCATATCTGGAAATGTAGTGAGCTATTCTTTGGTGTACATGTAAAATTCAACTGCCATTAGAAAATAGATTATATATTTCAAGAAGCATAGCTTGATGCTTTTAATGCTTTTTATATATAGATATATAGATATATATATACATGCACACACACTATATTGCTGACTATTTAGTCTGAAATACAACATATTTTCCATTTTATTTTATATAGGTTCATATAGTGTAATAGTGCAATAAGCAATGTGAATAACATCTGTTGCTTTTGTTTTCTTGTCTTTTCTCCAGAAAGAGAAATATATGCAGGGGAGTATTTTTGTTTAAGACTTTTAATTTATGCACACACAAACAGCACAGAGTTGGCTATATATTGGCACAGCCAGGATATTTTGCTTTTATTTTTTTAAGGGAAGTCATTTGCAAGATTGTAGCCTCTTACAGATTCACATTTTAAAAAATTCAGTGTGGTAATACTGTGAAGAAAAGATGCCTATAAATTTCATTCTCACACACACACACACACACACACACACACACACACACACACACACACACACACACACACACGCACACACACACACACACATACTTTTCTTTGTATAACTATGTATTTAGATTAAATAATTTGTATACAGGTAGTACCAGTGTCCCCAGTAAATTGTGTGTTTGTGTGGCTGCCCAGGAGACATTCATATGCTGCCCAGCTTATTAGCAGAGCGCTCACAGCTAAATGTTTGTTTCTTCTGGTGGTGCACATTTGCACGTCTCAGTGCATATAGAAACTGCGTTGTGCTTAAGATGATCTCCCCTTATGTTTGTGCTAGACATACTAAGTATTTGCTTTCTCCAACAAATTTCTCCTAGCCAGCAATGTTTATTTTCCCTCAGAAGCAGTAGTGCAAAGTATAAACTCTTCAGCTTTGTCTACACTATGGCTTTTGTTAGAAGAGGCAACGCAAATGAAGCGCTGATTAGCATTTTGTCATGCTTCATTTGCATAATCTATTCTGAGCCGTTTTTGCACAAGGGGATTTTGCACAAAAACAAGCAGTGTGGCCGTGGACGTTTTGCACAAAACCTTTTTGTGCAAGATCCTTATGCCTCTCTGGGAAGAGTCCCATGTCCAATTCTGGCAGCCACACTTTAAAAAATATGTGGAGATACTAATGAAAGTGCAGCGGATGGCAACAAAAATGATAAAAGATTAAGAAAACATGATCTATGAGGAAAAGTTTAAAAAAAAACCTGGACTTTCTAGATGTTAATAAAAACACATTTCAGGTCAAGAACTTCAGTTACTACCACTGTTTGCTCTAATCTTTTCTATCCATGTGTAAAATAATTGTTTTCAATTACAGGCAGTCCCCGGGTTACATGGATCCGACTTACATCGGATCCCTACTTACAAACAGGGTGAGGCAACCCTGCACTAGCTGCTTTCCCCCCAGCAGACCAGGAAGACGCGAAGCTAGCGCCCCCCCAGCAGACCAGGGAGATGCGGAGCGGCTTTTCTCAGTAGACACCTCAGCTTGAGAATAAAGGACTGAGGGAAGTGAGGTGTGGGAGAATAAAACTGAGCTCTGGGGAAATGTTTTGCTAGAGTTTCCCCCTACAATATGTACCAGTTCTGACTTACATACAAATTCAACTTAAGAACAAACCTACATTTCCTATCTTGTACGTAACCCGGGGACTGCCTGTATTATGTAAATTAACAGAAACAAATAACTGAGTACAAAGCCACTGTAACAGTATTGAATCAATTTAAATTATCTGCAGTAATTTTGTCATCTGCTTTTTATTTTTCAATTCTGGGGTGTTATACTAATCTTACCAAAAGAATATCTTACCATCATTTGATACTACTGTGACTAATTTTGATAGTTTCTTTTAATTGCCCAGAGTCCATTACAATAGAATCCCTTTTATCTGAGCCTCCATTATTTGGCACTCTGTATTAACAGAACAACCAACATATAGGACCAGAAGCAGGTGTTCTCTTTGGTGACCACTAGATGGCATGGCAGCCTTACACGTTCCCATTCTCCAGAAGTGATATTCCAACCACTGGTTTGTTTTTTTCCCCCAGGCCAAAAGCTACTCTTATTGGTGGTAGCTCCAAAGGTGTAGACAGCAGGGGCAGAATATGGGCAGCAATTCTACAGTTCCACTCCTGAACTACTGCAGTCGCGTACATTGAAATTATTGCAATACTTACTAATCAACTAGAATCCTTCTGCCTTCTATTCCAAAGGAGGCTAATGTAGAAGATGTCTCTCAGGACTTTCTGCCAAGAGAGAGGGCCAGGTCAATACCTCACAGATGCCTTGGGGCTGGGAACAGATTTCCTCTTGCATGCTTGCGTTCTGTGAGTGATCTCCCAGCCATGCCCCCACGTTACATTGCTATACAGGCAGTCCCCGGGTTACATGGATCTGACTTACATCGGATCCCTACTTACAAACGGGGTGAGGCAACCCCGCACTAGCTGCTTCCCCCCAGCAGACCAGGGAGACGCGGAGCGGCTTTTCTCAGTAGACACCTCAGCTTGAGAATAAAGGACTGAGGGAAGTGAGGTGTGGGAGAATAAAACTGAGCTCTGGGGAAATGTTTTGCTAGAGTTTCCCCCTACAATATGTACCAGTTCTGACTTACATACAAATTCAACTTAAGAACAAACCTACAGTCCCTATCTTGTATGTAACCCGGGAACTGCCTGTATATATAGTACAGCAGCACCAGGTGGGAACAGACTCCTTTGTGCTACATTGTTTTTAAATACCTTTGTTGAGATTTTCCCAGCACCAAGGATCTTGTATTCTGATTAAAGACAAGACACAACAAACGGGCATAACAAATAATAGGAGACAAGGGGTGAGGAGGAAGGAGAAGAGTAACAATAACCGGAATAACAAGGTCCTGTAGTTACACAGGCTAATAGAATGTGCATAATGTGAGGGTTCTGAATCATGTACACTTTAATGTTTTCATTTCCTTATTAAAATCTAATAATCTGTGCTCCTGCAATGTTTGCTTCAATTTCCTAATCCCTATAAAAAGCAACCCAAGATTCAGTTTTATATTGTTCCGTTCCCTTTTTTAATTGCCTATAAACCACCTCCTGCCTAATATTACTGGTTTGGCTACCATTTTGTAATAGAAATGAATGCCTTCAACTCGCATAGATGAACCTTACTGCTGGAGCTATGAGCTGCAAAGTCCCATAGGGGGACAGAATGAGGGAGGCTTACAGCTTCCCCTTTGCCCTGCTTCCTGGTAAGTTCAGTAGCTGGCAACACTATCTTTTGGAAAATGCCGTTCTGAAATGGTCACTAGGCTAGTGAATTCCATGGTGAGTTCACCTCCTCTGATGTTCTGATTAATCATTTTCAGAGTTTGAGCACTGATGTCATGGCTGTAATGGAAGCATTAAGTTAGATGACAGAGAGGTTAAGATGTGCTATATGATACTGATTAGAACCTTGGACTAGGAGCCAGTACTCCTGGATTTTATACTCAACTTCCCTGGTTCTTTATGAAGCAATGGTGCCAATTTCACAAGGTAGAAAGTAGTTATCCTTTGGATTTTACTATGGAAAAGGAATACTAAGACCTGTATGATGTGACCAGTGCTAGGTAACTATTCAAAAATCTGCAACTCAAACTATTCTGGAACACCTGACTCATAGGAATTATAAGCAACTGAAAGCAAAATCTGTGATTCAGCAGTGACATGGTAAGTCACCTGTTCTCATATTTAGATGTTTACTTTCACACTGATACATTTTTATTGTCTATGAATGTACATTGATGCTGTTGCCTTCCATAAAATTATTAAGCCTAGGTTATCGTACTTAAAGATTATGTACTTCATCATGACTATATAGGCAAGATTTAAGCCAGGTGACAGAAAACTGCAAAATAGCGCAATGCACAGTGATTAGAACCTGAAACTAGTAGCCAAGACTGCAGAATTCTATATATTCCACTCCACTTAATTTGTAAACCACTGTGAGAATAACAGATGAAAACATGCTACGTAAATTCCTGATATTTTTTTAAAGAATTAAAAAATTTAAGTGTTTGCACTTAGCTTAATAGCCAGAGACAAAAATAATTAATTTAAAAGTATCTTCAACAACACAAGGTGGGTGGATGATATTTTTGCATAGGTTAAGGTAGTTTTCCAATATCAAACAATATTAATATTGCACAATACTATATTAATGTATTTAGAAGGTCACATTGAAAGAGAATAAGGTTACTTACCTCTAGAACTAATATATAAAAAGTGGCTAATATGCTGTATATTAAAATAAGTGTGGGGAGTGGACCAAGTTTGATGGTGCTGCCACACCTTGACAACAGAAGCATACTGGTGTGGCATGTGCAAAGCCATTTACATGTGCAAATAGGTATTTGCACACAAATATATTTGTACCGTAGTAGCACAGCATTGGCTTCAGTGCAACAAAACATTTGTGGATGGCCCTGATCAGCTGATTCAAAGTGTGGAAATATAAAATTGTTTTGTGTTCCTGCACAGGGTGGATCCCAGGTGGAATGTTTACACTGCAGTTTTGTGGCCTCCTCGGCCTGAGTCAACCCACATAGGCCAGCTTTGCAGTGTAGAGTACCTTCAGGACCCTATTGTATTAGACACTGAATGTATACCATTGATTTAGTTGTATTCATGTAGCTGTACCATAAAAGTCTGTGCCCATTCCAAACAGTTTACAATCTTAATGTATGAAAAGAGACTAATGGGAGGTTTAGATAAAGTGAGACATGCTTTGTACAGTAAGCAGCAATTAGATGGACTCTTGTACCTAGCAAAATCAAGTGTGTGGCTATTCCTCGGTGCCTTATTAAAATTACTTTAAAATCTTTTCCTTTTGTCAAGCTGTCAATAAAGCTGGTGCGAGGTCAGGGGAGTGATGGGCATTGTATTTTGATGGCATGGTTTTGGGTACATTGCTGTGTGCCCCCCCCCAGCCTGGCTGGGCGGGGAAGGGAAGGCAGAGGGGCCTATTTCTTCTGCCTGCCTCGGTTACTGCCCACAATAACAGCTTACAACCCCAACGAACCGGTTTTTCGCTGTACTTAAATCAAAGGCAAACGCTTCTCCTGCGCACACAGGGCGCTGCCGCCGGCGGGCACCTCCCTCCTCGCAGCCTGGGGAGTAGATCTGGCTGCCAGCTCGCCCCACAGCCCTGCCTGAAGGTGGCTGCGTCTCCGGGGGGTAAAGGAGAGGAGCTGGGGCCTCGCTATGAAGGCGCTGAGCGATTTGGTGGGCGCACTGATTCCCAGGCAGGACGGGACGCAGGCGGCGGAGGCACTTGCAGCCGACGAGGAGACGCGTGAGTGAGGCAGGACTGCGGCTCGGCGCTGCACAAACCCAGCTGCCGGGGGGAGCGGGGAGCGCGGGCTGACCACGGAAGGGCAACGTGGTGCCGCTGCGGGCCGGGGGTGTTTTCGTGAGTCGGGACTGAGAGAAACCGGAGCCACCTGACCGCAGGCTAGCGGGGCGGTGTCTGCTCTGCTCTAGACGGGGCCTCAAGCTGCACAGGGTGACCCAGACTTCCCCCGGGGCAGGCGTGTTTGGACCTGAACTTCTGGGTTGGTCCACTACGGAAATTGGAGGGAAGCTATAAAGTTACTTTGGATACAAGGACACACACGCATACAGCTTTGAAGGTTTTATTATTCATTTCTGTTACGTCTAATTAGGGGGCCTTGAGTCTCGGACACAGCCCTTGCCTAGAGAGTTTGTCTTCTAACCTAGAAGAGCAACGAGGAGTCCTGTGGCACCTTATAGACTAACTGAGGTGTAGGAGCATAAGCTTTCGTGGGCGAAGACCCACTTTGTCAGATGCATGTAGTGGAAATTTCCAGAGGCAGGAATAAATATGCAGGCCAGGATCAGGCTGGAGATGACCAGGTGGATCCAATCAAGGAGGATGAGGCCCACTTCTAGCAGCTGATCTGGAGGTGTGAATTCCAAGAGAGCAGAAGCTGCTTTTGTAGTTAGCGAGCCATTCACAGTCTTTGTTTAATCCAGAGTTGATTGTGTCAAACTTAAAGATGAACTGTAGCACAGCAGTTTGCAGATTCAGACTAACACGGCTACCCCTCTGATACTTAACCTAGAAGAGGAGCAGACAAAGGGTGGGGGAACAAGATCCCACATGGAGGAAAGGAGGTCAGGTGGTTTGGTCTGGGTTTTTGTTTTGGATCATACCAATGGTGGCTGTGAAGGAAGTGATCAGTATATAAAACGTTATGTAGGTCTCAAAAATAATGCACATCAAGTATCTGTTGGAACCTCTCAATCTTTACAAGTCTGGTAAGATGAGAAACAGAGGCATTGGTTTTGGCCCCTTTTGCAGGTTCAGGGTCTTAGACTGTAAACACTTGCGCACACACTTAATTGGAAACACATTTTCCACTGATTTCAATGGGACTACTCACATGTGAAGTTAAGCACATACATCCATTTAGCAGAATCAGGGCCCAAAACAACTCTGAAAGGACACTGGGGCTATGTCTGCATTGGCAAGATTTTGCGCAAATATTTTTAACTCAAAAAGTTTTTGCATTAAAGTATTTGAGCATGACAGCGTCTGTCTACACTGGCATGTGCTTTTGAGCAAGATATGTGCTTTTGCGCAAAAGCATCCGTGCCAGTATAGACGCTCTCTTGCGCAAGAAAGCTCCGATGGCCATTTTAGCCATCGGGCTTTCTTGCTCAAGAAATGCATGTTGCCTGTCTACACTGGCCTCTTATGCATAGTTCTTGCGCAAGAAGCACTGATTTCTTACATTACAACGTTAGTGTTCTTGCTCAAGAACTTGCAGCCAGTGTAGACAGGCAGCAAGTTTTTGCACAAAAGCAACTGCTTTTGCGCAAAATATTTTCAATGTAGACACAGCCTGGGTGAAGGTCTGGCCCCATTTCAGTCAGTAGTAAAACTTTTGGGCTACGTCTACACTGGCCCCTTTTCCGAAAGGGGCATGCTAATTTTCAACTTCAGAATAGGGGAAAAGTGTCTAGACTGGCCCGATCCTCCGGAATAAAGCCCTATTCCAGAGGAGTTCTTATTCCTACTTTGAAGGAAGAAGAGATCCGGAGGAGCTCTTATTCCTACTTTGAAGTAGGAATACGAGATCCTCCGGAATAGGGCTTTATTCCGGAGGATCGGGCCAGTCTAGACACTTTTCCCCTATTCTGAAGTTGAAAATTAGCATGCCCCTTTCGGAAAAGGGGCCAGTGTAGATGTAGCCTTGCTGACTAGTGGTGTAGTATCCTACTTGCATGCAGCTCATACAGAGAGCATTTTTGAGGCTAGTGGGAATGGATGCTAGAGAATAACCTATAGTTCATAAGTTCAGAGCTGGAAGAAAAATTTCAAGGGGATTATTTTAATAGGTAAATGATCTTTTTTAGACAGTGGAAATTTTGTTAATTGGGTTTTTTTTCATATTTTTCATTTTCCCGTCCTCCTCCCACAAAGAGGAAAAAGGGGAGAGGAAAAAATGACAAAGGAAAGAAAAAGAAAAGAAAAAAATCACCAAAAATTTGAGCAAATGAAAAATTATATCTTTTTGGAACCTTCTCCCCCCCCCCACTATTTAACCAGCTCAACTCTGTTCAGTCTGCAACATGTATTTCTTGTGGAGTAATGAGACTTTGTGGATAACATGGCAGGAAGCTAGAAGTAAGAAAAACATGGAAAGATTCAGGCGTGTGTTTTTCCAGCCCCATTAGGGCTTTTGGATAGGTTGAGATCTCATGGGTTTTGGTAAATGATTTCAAGCCATACAATCTGATAGGATTTGGCATTATTTTTGGAGTAGATAAAAGTCATGTGCTTGGAGCAACTCCCTGTTTGCTGATGGTTTCCAACAGTCCATTCACTCTCCCTCCACTACTAGGTCGTTGTGGTGTGGGCTGCATTAGTTGTTGCTTTGTTGTTGTCCTTCCCCCCCTCTGCCCTGAAATGACCTCAATCCCATGTGGCCTGGTCCCTCAAACCCTCGCCCACTTCTCTGCTCGCTCTTTTCTGCCTATCTCAGGTGCAAGGTCTGGCTTCAGGGGAAAGAGGTCGAGTGGGAACAGGCCACAGTCCAGGTGCTAGGGCCCTTGCAGATTGCAGGTCCAGTGCCATTGCTGGGAAGGAATTTTTTCCCATACCATCAGATTTGGTTGGGGGGGGAGGATGTTTGTGTATGTTTGCTTGCTTGCTCATCCCAGTGAAACCTAGGGGTTGGGCTTCCCTTGTTGACTGATCTGCGTCTTGATTCGCGTGCTGTGCCAACGATCAACTGAGCCGGCACAGTGCGGCGGCCATGTTTATTTTAATGAAGCCGGGGATATTTAAATCCCAGCTTCTTCGACTATGTCGGGTAGTCTAGTTTACATACCTCTGTCGACAGAGGCATCTAGTCTAGACATACCCATAAAAACCAAGGATAATGACCACACATACATCACAAGTACAAGGTACATCAGTTTTACAGGTTTTATCAAAGTTACAATTGAAGATATGATTACCTAGGCATATAGAAATTCTATACTGACCTATGTACAAGTTACAAATAGTGTTATATTCATCATTAATCATAGTGTTAGGATCTGATGGGTAGAGCCCTGTATGGATGCAAAGTTTGCTTCTATAGCTGCAAAATGAACTGCAGATCTCTGCATTCGCATCTGCAGATGCAGATATCCGTGGATACAGTAATTCCTCATTTAACACTATAGATATGTTTCAGAAAATGATCGTGTTAAGTGAAAACGTGTTATGCAGGGTCAGTTTTCCCATTGAAAATAATGGAAAAGGTGGGGGTTGCGTTTCAGGCGGTGGTGTCTGTTGGAACCGGGACATAAGGTTGGGGGAGAAAGGGGACTGGGTTACAGCAGGGAGGGGAGGTGTTTAGCTCTGGGGAAGGAAGGGGGAGGGGTATTGGGTTGGGAGTATGCCCCTCTGACGGGTCTGCCAGGACCGGCACTGCGTCTGGCGAGTGGGGGGGTCACTGGGGAATGGTACGACGAGTAGTGAACCCTCTGCCGCTTTGCAGGGAGGCAGGGGAAGCCCTGCGCAGCCGCCAGCAACGGGTCGGCTGGGGAAATCGTGTTATTCCAGGGACAGTTATGTAATTCAAAAAATGTTCCCTAAAAAAAAATCGTGCTATCATGAAAACGTATTAAGCGGGCATGTGTTAAATGAGGAATTACTGTACCCAGGTTTGCCGGGTTCTAGATATAAAATTTGTGTACACTCTGTATCTGCAAAAATGAGCTGTCTGCATCTACATCTGCGGTAGGGAAGTACAAGATTAACCAGTTAACTGGTTACCTGGTAAGCATTAGCGTTACTGGTACGCTTACCCAGTAACCTGTTAACTGGTGGAGGGGGATAGTTCTCCTCCCACTGCAGCTGGCCAGAGCAGCCCCTCATCTGCGGCATAGCCAGACCCTGGCCAGCTGGAGTAGCCCCGTATGCTGATAGAGAAGTGTATAAGGCCATGCTTACACTAACACTTCTGTTGGCAAAACTTTTGTCTCTCAGGTAGGGTGTGTGAAATAACCCCCTCCCCACCCTCCCCCGGAGAGACACAAGTTTTGCTGGCATAAGCACTTGTTGCAAAGTGCTGGTTTTATAATGTCAGCAGAAGAGTTCTCTCCTGGCATAACATGGCTATACAAGAGACCTTACAGCTGTGCACTTTAAGCTTTTAAGTGTATATATGCCCTTAAATTTCTGTTTTAGCTAGACTAATGTTTAGTGTTCACTCTTTGAAATCTCTTTTCTGAGTTAAGTAAACATTAATAGCTTTTGTTACAGCTGTGTTCTGATAATACTCAATAAAAGCTAGCTTCCCCAAGTTACTTTGGTGCTAGAAGTGCTTTCTCTTTGAGTGAGGCATGAAACCAAAGCCCAAAGCGCTAAAAATCTGAACTTTCCAGAAATCAGAATTCTGTTTTCTCAGGTATTCCAGCCAAATTCCTGTGTAGCCAATCACCTTCTTTTTGTCTAAATTACTCCAGCAGTTTTGCTTGGATGTATGTATCTGACAGTTCTTGCCCTATATTATTATGGAGATGGGTGATGTAGTTATTGTAGGCAATGGTGTTGTAGCTGTGCCAGTCCTAGGGTATTAGACAAGGTGTATGAGGTAATATCTTTTAGTAGACCAACTTCTGCTGGTGAAAGAAGCAAGCTGGCATACCACTCAAAAGTTTCTCTCTTTTGCCAGCAGAAGTTGGTCCAATAAAAGATATTACCTCATGCACCGTGTCTCTCAAATAATTGCTGGGTTTCACTCCTGAAGTGGCTATATTTAAAGAATGAGTAAAATAATTCCTGTAGTTGATACTGACGGTTATTACGTTTGTAAAGGACCTTGGGATGGGACACATTTGGGTGACAGGAACTTATACGTGCATTACTGTTGTTCTGAGCAGTGCAATTAAAGATGTAATGAAAATTCTATTTATATTTGTCCTTAAAGGACTGGAACTAGAGAGAGATCAACCAGATGCTTAGGGGGGAAAATGTAATTTTGTAACAACAATTCCATGATAAAAAAGCAAATAATTCACATACAGTATTGAACTGAGATGTGCATATCCCAAACAACCAATGATAAGGGGAGAAGGGTTGTCATTTTAAGTTTTTTGTATCTATTTCTTACTTATCATAAACCACCTTGTCACATTTTCTACAGTGTTACCAAATGAGAGAGAATTTCATCATGCTGCTAAAATGAATAATTTGGAAACCATGGAGAATTTACTTAGGAAGAATGTTAACATTAATGCTGTAAATACTGTGAGTATAAAATACTGTATGACAGTTTAATTGTCAGAAATGTGCTTTGTATAAGATTGAAAATCTCAAAAATACGAAGTATTTGACTGCAAGAGGAGGGTAAATGTCCTCTAGTAGAAAATTCTCTGAACAGATATTTCAGGTGTTCAGTTGAGTACCCAAATGTTGCCAGGTGAAGAGTGCCCTCCACTTGTGCTTAATGAGAGTGCATGATGCTCTGTAATTCACGGTCTAGAGATCAGTGTATAAGAGTGGGACAAGGAACTTCTGAGTTACAAACTTGGCACTCTGTGACATTGGGCAATTAGTTTAACTTCTGCTTCAGTATCCTCATATGTAAAATGAGTCTATTCAGTGGCACTGAAACATTTTTAAGAGTGGTGTGCTGAAATCCAAACCCCTTATTCTTGTTGATGCTCCTCTCCCCCATCAACCTGAGGCCGGGAGCAAACCCCGGGCACAGGGCTGGCATCAGCAGCTATGCGGGTCAACAGCCGTGACCCCAGGGACTTCAGGCACTTGATCTATGCTCATGCCTCCTCCTTATCCCCCCCTGCCTCCTCCAACATTTTTAAGAGTGGTGTGCTGAAATCCAAACCCCTTATTCTTGTTGATGCTCCTCTCCCCCATCAACCTGAGGCCGGGAGCAAACCCCGGGCACAGGGCTGGCATCAGCAGCTATGCGGGTCAACAGCCGTGACCCCAGGGACTTCAGGCACTTGATCTATGCTCATGCCTCCTCCTTATCCCCCCCTGCCTCCTCCA